ACTTCTCGCTGGAGGTGCAAAACGGCGCGGATGGTAATAAATACCCGGAATTGGTGCTGGAGCGCGCCCTGGACCGCGAGGAAAAGGCCGCTCACCAGCTGGTCCTCACGGCTCTGGACGGGGGCGACCCGGTCCGCACAGGCACCGCGCGCATCCGCGTAGTGGTTGTTGACGCGAACGACAATGCACCAGCGTTTGCCAGATCCGAGTACCGCGTGAGTGTGCCGGAGGACGTGGCGGTGGGCACTCAGCTGCTCCTGGTAAACGCCACCGACCCAGACGAGGGGGCCAACGCGGAGGTGATGTACTCCTTCCGGTACGTGGACCACAAGGCGGCCCAAGTTTTCAAGCTCGATAGCAATTTAGGGATAATATCAACAACAGGCGAGTTGAACCACGAGGAATCAGGTTTTTACGAGATGGAAGTGCAAGCCATGGATAACGCAGGATATTCCGCACGAGCCAAAGTCCTGATCACAGTGCTTGATGTGAATGACAATGCTCCCGAAGTGGTTGTCACCTCTCTCACCAGCTCCATTCCTGAAAACTCTCCCAAAGGGACATTAATTGCGCTTTTACATGTCAATGATCAAGACTCTGGGGAAAATGGACAGGTAGTCTGTTCCATTCCAGGGGACATGCCCTTTAAATTAGAAAAGTCTTATGGAAATTACTATAGTTTAGTCACAGATACAATCTTAGACAGGGAACAGGTTCCTAACTATAACATCACAGTAACCGCCACTGACATGGGAAATCCGCCACTGTCAATGGAAACACGTATCTCTCTGGTCGTGGTGGACACCAATGACAACGCACCCGTCTTCCCTCAGGCCTCCTACTCTGCCTACATCCCAGAGAACAACCCCAGAGGCGCCCCAATCTTCTCAGTGACTGCTCACGACTCGGACTGTGATGAGAATGCACAGGTCACTTATTCCTTGGTTGAAGACACCCTCCAGGGGTCACCTCTGGCCTCTTATGTCTCCATCAATTCAGACACCGGCGTCCTGTATGCACTGCAGTCCTTTGACTATGAACAGTTGCAGCACCTACAGCTGCAAGTGCTGGCACGTGACAGTGGGGACCCGCCCCTCAGCAGCAACGTGTCACTGAACTTGTTTGTGCAGGACCAGAACGACAATGTCCCCGAAATCCTATATCCAGCCATCCCCTTCGACGGTTCCACTGGGGTGGAGCTAGCACCTCGCTCCGCAGAGCCTGGATACCTGGTGACCAAAGTGGTGGCAGTGGACAGAGACTCAGGTCAGAACGCCTGGCTGTCCTACCGCCTGCTCAAGGCCAGCGAGCCGGGGCTTTTCTCAGTGGGGCTGCACACGGGCGAGGTGAGCACAGCAAGGGCCCTGCTGGACCGAGATGCGCTCAAGCAGAGCCTGGTGGTGTCTGTGCAGGACCATGGCCAGCCTCCCCTGTCCGCCACGGTCACTATTACCGTGGCTGTGGCCGACAGCATCCCCGACGTTCTAGCGGGTCTGAGCAGCCTAGAGTCTCCGGCCAGCTCTGAAACCTCAGGCCTCACGCTGTACCTGGTGGTAGCAGTAGCCGCAGTTTCGTGCGTCTTCCTAGCTTTTGTCATCGTGCTGCTGGCGCTAAAGCTGCGGCGCTGGCACTCAACGCGCCTGCTCCAGGCTGCGGGAAACGGATTGGCCGGTTTACCCGCCTCGCACTTTGTGGGCGTGGACGGGGTGCGCGCTTTCCTGCAGACCTATTCGCATGAAGTCTCGCTCACCGCGGACTCTCGCAAGAGCCACTTGATCTTCCCGCAGCCCAACTACGCAGACACACTCATCAGCCAGGAGAGCTGCGAGAAAAGCGAGCCTCTTTTGTTATCAGGCGACTCAGTGTTTTCTAAAGACAATCATGCTTTGATTCAGGTGAGTCCATATTAGATATTATTTTCTGAGCTGGAAGCAAATATCCCGTAGCATAGATTAGTGTGTATATGCAATTAATAAAGCAGATACCAATACAGGTATACATGTTTCTAAATATGTATGTATGTAAACATAATATTAAAAGCAATATAAATAATATTACCATATTATTGATGTTATGCTACTACATAATATGTAAGCAATCTCTAAAGAACCTTATAAATACTCTATATAATTTTCCAGTTTAATTTATCAGCTATAATATTCATATTTTAATTTTTTTCTTATTAGCAGCAGTTTTGTGTCAAGCATATGATGCCAATTTATCTGTTAAAAAACCAGATCCTTCTAGAGAAGAAAAATTAAATTTAATGGAAAATATGAATAGAATGAATGAAAATTTTAATAAACCTTTAAAAAGAGTGAGATATATGGTATATATATGCATATATGTATGACAGATGTGGGATCAAACTCAGAACCTGAATATACTAAGCCCTCTACCACTAGGTACATCCCTCGCCTCAATAGACAACAATGGCTTTAAATACACTTGAGATTGTTGGCAAATTTATAAACTGTCTTTTTAAAGTACACTATTTCTTTCTGGTTGTTGGGGATACAGTCATTTATACTTTCTTGCTGTCCTAAGTCATTTCATGTCTTTAAATCATTCAGCTTCCAAATGTGGTGAGCTCCTTTCTTACGCATTTGACATTTTCTCAAACATACCGTGTGTGTGTGTGTGTGTGTGTGTGTGTGTTGTTGTGAAGAACTGTCATTATACTTTCCAATAGTAAAATACTATTAGATAATATAGTAGACCTTTTTGTTCAGTTTACCTCTGTTAATGATGGCTTTTGAAATGTTCAGAATTAAGAAAATGTACCACAGTGATGACAAATCATTCTTTGCCATTTATCCCACTGACAATTTCTTGGAAGAAATAATTTTTTAACATTTCCATATGTTTTGAGCATACTTTTGGTACTGTGGGAAAATTTGCAGTCCTTCTGCTTTGTACCTTAAATTTCCCATTAACTTTTACAAACATAAAATTTTTTTCTTAAAATTACACAGACTGTGTTTTCTAAAAACTCCATACTTGCTATAGAATGTTTATTAGGAATCAGATGCAAAAATGTATTATATTGAGGAACATTGCCTGATTTCTTTTCATGAATTTCATAAAGGGATAAAGAAACATAATTCTTTTTCATTTCTTTTTATTTGCTGCCTATAAAAACAAAATAGTTAAAACCTAGGTTTATAAAAGAGATCACAAATCACTTAATGACCAAAATTCTACCACGATTCACATATTACATTAGACTTCTTGACAACTGAGACTCCCTCACACACAAACCAAAATGAAACATAGATTTTATGTTTATATTTGTGTGCTTCTTAAAAGGAAATATTTTGCCTATGCAAAAATATTTATAAAAAGTTTTGAGATAGGGTCTCTCTTATCTAATTCAGGCTGTCCTTGAACTGACTATGTAGCCCAGGCCGGCTCAAACTCATGACAGTCCTCTTGCCTCAGCCTCCTGCATCTGGGATTACAGGCATGTGCCATCATGCCTGGCAAAAATGTAAAATTTATGTTTACATTATGTTTCTAATAACATTTACTAATTGTAATGTTCTGCATTACTAAGAGAAATAGAAGGCAATGCACATCCCTCTTATATAGGAATTATCACGATGTTTTTCAAACATCCCGTTCTCATATGGTACTGTGGGAAGCAACTGAAAAATTAAAGATATAACTGGAAAACAGAAATTGAGAAACCACGCTAACATAGTAAGATTATGCTCATTACTGTTTATCTAAGGTGACTTAGGGACAAATCATTGAGAAATAAGGCACTGAGTAGCCATGACTCTTAGACTGTATCTCAAAAAACTAGTAATCTCAACTGTGCTTTCAACTTGGGTTGTAAAGCTCTGATTACGTAGTACTTTAATTAATGAAAGAGAACATGAATGTGATCTGAGGATTCTCTGGTACCAGCTTTCTGAAGATAGTAAATTTGCAACTAGGAACTTCCTAACTGGGTCACCTTTGACCAGTTATTTAACCTCTGAGTTTCACCGAAATGTGGGTAATATTTAATTTGAAAGATTGTGCTAAGGACAACAGAAAATGTATATGTCTTCTAGTTCATTACCGGTAGTTAACTGTAGTCATTTTTCATGGTGGACAGAAAAAGGATTCATGTTTGACATTCTGTTGAGGAAAGAAATAATGGATTGAGTGCTTTACCAGTTGGTACTATGGGATGACTTGAAGGTGAAAATGAAACTTTTCTAAAACATTTGCGAAGGTAATTTTAAAATCTGACGTGCCCAGGCATGTTTTTGATTGAGAAACCACAGTTTCTGGCCATAAACAATAGTATGTTGGAGAAATGTTATTTGGAATGAGACAATTTTGGGGCATTAAGTTTTCTCCATCTGAACAGTATAACCTAAACAAGGATTCTATGAAACTTATTTTTGAAGAGGAGTTTACCCCAATGGGATTGTGGATGATATAACAGAAAAATGGATCACCAAAACCAGGTTGAAGTTTGGGCCTTATGAGAATTGATGTGAATGAGTATACAAAATACCAATCTTAATTTTAAAATACTTAGGATAATTGGGGTCTTTTGCAGTTTATAAAAAAAAAATTTGAGAAAAACTCTTTAGTCTTTGAGTTATAAAAATGTTTTGATTGTTATAAATGTTTATCATGCAGTTATTTGCACAACTAGTAATACTTATCAGCAGCTATGGGACCCAAATTTTTTAAAAACAAAAATACTTAGCCCCATTATTTACCGGTAGAACATGTTCCTTTATGCTTATATTTTAGCATTTGCTACATCATTGTTCTAATTTTTAGAGTTACATCCAAAAGATAAGGCAAAACCACCTATGAATTGCCATATCTGTTTATTTGTTTGTGAAAACATCCTTAATTTGCTGATGTGACAAAACAAATATCAACTCTGCTACGCAAAAAACAAGATAATCTGCTTTGTAATTAACTTTATAATTCAATTGCATACAGGCAACATGCTACATATGAAAAACTTACTAACTGAACTACAAATATTAAATACTGAAAAATTAACAGTTTATTATAATTTATTTTATTTAACAATCTAGGAAGTTAGCAGCCATCAGCAGTTCCAGTGCTATCTCAGGTGCAAAGGGAAATTCGAGAATCTCGATGGAGCTGTTGGTGTAGGGAACCTTGTAGGTAAAATAAATGCAGACTTTCCAAAGTACATGTGAAGGGATCGCTCTAAAATTGACCTCACTGGTATCGTTTTCAGCAAACTGACCTGGGCCACTCAACATGGTTATCGTTCCTGATGTTAGTGTGTGTTCTCTTTTTACAATAAACTCATGGCCGTCAGAAGATATCAATTTGCCATACATTGCATCGGGGCTTTCACAGCCACCATAGGTTTTCTCCTCCCCATCCGTTATGTTGTTATATAATCCTACTTTGGTTCCACAGGAACTTTAGTAGTTTCTTGTCGGCCCCACAACGACTGCAGCCAAGTCTCCCCCTACCGCCACAACCCCTACTTCAGGGCCGCCCCTCTAACCGTCAGGATAATTGTTGATAATTGATAATTACGATACTTGCTGATTGTTTTCTGAGAGTAACTGAATAGTGGGTTTAGATGTATATAAACATCATCTTCTAATTCATAAAAAGAATTATGTTTCTTTATCCTTTTATGTTTCTTCTGGAGCCAGTAATGAAAGCACTGTGTTAAGGGCTCTGCCTGCCTTCCTATGTGTTGTGGCTGATGGGTGTGCATTCATTTCATCTAGTAAGTAAATCAAAGCCATTCAGCTATAACTTAGAAGTTGTGCCTCTGTGAAAATTTGACTGTAGTCTGTCAGCTTTCACCACATTCACCCTAGAGGTGAGATTGAACCTTGCTGAAATTATACACATCATAAACACTCTTCAACTAATTGGAAGTCTACCTATCGATTAGTGTGCTATATCCCAATTTTCTTAGTGATGTGTAATGGAATACCACTGATCATGAGTTGAATAATTCTGATGAAAAATCTTCTTTTTCATCATAAAAGATACCAGGTTCAAGAAAGCAAATGAAGGGATTGGTCAAGCTAATGAGTCTATATCTCAGGAAAAATATATTCTCCAATATTGCATTTTTGAGAAAACCTATATAACAAGTACCAAAAATAGTGCATACTCTTTGTAACACATCCATAAGTCACTAATAGCAAAAGGTAGCCTATGATGAAAGCAAATGGAAAAAATTTTACAGAGGGTGATATTTCAGGATACCAAACAGAAGGACTCTGCTTCAGGAAAATGTGAAGAAAATTCCCATCAAATAGACCACTGAATCAAGTAATCTACTTTATAAAAGAAGTTGGTATCACCATAAGTTCTCTTAGAGAACTCATAGCGAAATCTACTGTGTGTAATCTATTTGAGGACATATAATTTCTTAGCTAGTAGTTAAACCTCAAAAGCATTTGATACAGTGGTTTGCACACTTAGTTATTCAATAAAATGCCTGAGCTAACTGATTAGAAAGCAGTTTCTTGGAAAAGAATCATGCTACAAAATCGCTGGTTTTGAGCGGTGCGTTCAGGGGAGGTCCCGCGGATCTGTCTCTTGCTTCAACAGTGTTTGGATGGAACAGACCCGGGACTCCCTTTTTTTTCATCTCCCATCCACGTTCCAGGCACAAAGTTTGGGACCATCTTTTTGATCATCTGCTCTTTCCAGGACAGCCAACACCATTCTTTTGAGGGTAGCTCTTTCCCACTGATCAGCCATGACCTCTCAGATTCGTCAGAATTATTCCCCCCGAGGTGGAGGCTGCCATCAACCGCTGGTGAACCTGCACCTGCAGGCCTCCTATACCTACCTCTCTCTGGGCTACTACTTCGACCGCGACAATGTGGCTATGGCGGGCATGGACCGTTTCTTCCATGAGCTGGCCAAGGAGAAACATGAGGGCGCCTAGCCTAGCATCTCCTAAAGATGCAAAGCCATCGCGGTGGCTGGGCTCTCTTCCAAGACGTGCTGAAGCCTTCCGAGGATGATTGGGGTAAAATGCTATGCAGGCAGCCCTGCATAGGCCTGGAGAAAAGCCTGAACCAAGCTCTGCTGGATTTTCATGCCTTGGGCTCTGCCAAGACAGACCCCCATGTCTGTGATTTCCTGGAGAACCACTTCCTAGATGAGGAAGTGAAGCACATCAAGAAGATAGGTGACCACCTCGCTAACCTCCAAAGGCTGGCGGGCCCCCAGGCTGGGCTGGGCGAATACCTCTTTGAAAGGCTCATCCTTAAGCACAATGAGGAGGCCCCAGAGCCTAGCAGTCTCGGAGGGGCTACTGCATCACCTGGCATCAGGGCTTTGGCTTGACCCTTTCCCTTCAGCCACTAGGCAGTTTTTTCACCTCTTTGGAGCCCCCTCCCAAATCTTGGACTAAAAGAACATAAAGCCTTTTACAGCAAACAAACAAAAAACCGCTGGTTTTACATGTACTTTCCGTCTATATCAATCCCCTAATGAAAGCCAAACTTCTGATCTCTCAAATAAATGCACTTGTTTCTAAGATTATCATACTGTGAAACTTCTTCAATGCTTCCATCATAATTTCCACTGAAGATTCAGCCAGCAGTTGGCCATGAGACTGTGTTGCATAAATACAAGGAAAGACTGGGATGGGAGTATAAATAGAAAACATGTTAACATAAAAAAACTCATTGGCCAGAAGAAATAAAAAGAAGCCATCCATTTTTGTGCTGCAGTAACTAAGATTTTAAATTCCCAGAAATGTTTGATTGCAGAGCAAAACTGTACACTACCTTTCAACTTGCAAATTCATTGAGAAACATCTTTCTGCTCTCAACTGCAGAACATTGTATTCTGCTTTCTTCAGGCTGCAATTCTAGAGTAGAAACTCAAAATTCCACGTTGGCCCACGCAGAAAAAGATAACTGAAATCCCTCCAACCGTCTTGCTTGGTGACTTTCTTAATGGAACTCAATATAAATACAGAAGCAGACCAGAAACATTCTTCAACCAAGACCTCATGTGAATATGCCTCGGCAGAAAGCTCTGCTCCCGTTTGTTTGGAGCTCCATAATTCAAAGATAGTCTGAAAAGGGCCTGATCTGAGCTGAACCAGCAGACATGCTGACTGGGAGAGATGGAGAACAGCACAGGTCTACCAGGCCAGGCGGGATAGAGGCAAGTACTGTTTCCCTTTCTGCTGATTTTGGGCTGCCAGGTATCCTCCCAGCAGAACCAGTATTTAGTCCCTGAGGAGCTGACCAAGGGTTCATTCATGGGAAACCTTCCCAAGGATCTAGGGCTCAAACATCTAGCACTTACAGACTTGCAAGTTTCAGGTTAATTCAGAACAAAAATACTTCACTCTGAGTGAAGCAGGTGGAGACCTGTTTGTGACTGACAGGATGGATCAGAAGATATGCCCACAGGATATAGTTTGTACTATATGTTCAGGAACTGTAGTTGGAAGTCCTTGTAGTGGTTTTCACATTAATATAGAGATTCAGGCTCCACGGTTTAGCAGGAATGTTACTGAAGTTGAAGATCTCCAGCCAGTAGCAAGATTTGCAATAGAACCTGCACAGGATCCTGATGTTGGAAACCATTCCTTACAAAATTATCAGCAACTCTGGAAAGAAATATGCTGCTCTTATTTTAGTGAAGCCACTGAGCCAGAAGAAGTACAGCTTCCTTCACTTAGTGCTGATAACCTTAGATGGTGGTGACCCATCACAAAGTGGTACCACCCAGATCCCGATCCTGGTGGTTGATGCCAACGACCACCCCCAGTGTTCAGTCAGGATGTGTATAGGGTCAGCCTTCAAGAAATGTGCTACCAAGCACCTCCATCTGAGGGTAAGGGCCACCCACCAGGACGAGGGCACCAATGCAGAGATCATGTATGCCTTCAAAGTCCAGAGTACTCATAGCCATTTTGGTCTTGATAATAAGATTGCAGAAACTAAAACTTTAAATACATTAGACTTCAAAGAGATTAAAAAATAGTCTATGGTTTTGGAAACAAGGGACAGAGAAATTCTAGATGATAGTGACAATGTCCCACGGGTGATTTTCACTTCTAGTTCCACAATGGTTCCCAAAGTCACTCTGTTTAAAACACAAGATCGAGATTCACAAGAAAATGGGGACTTCGTGTCTCAAACAAGAAAATGTACCTTTCAAAACTGAATCTTCCTCCAAGAATTATTACTAAGCCTGTAACACGTAGGACACTGAACAGACCCTGAAGTACAACATCGTCACTGCCACGACAAGAGCAAGCCCTCCCTCTCCTCCAGTACAAGCATCACGTTATACATTGCTGACACAGGACAACGCTCCAGTTTTTCAGCAGGCCTCCTATATGGTCCGCATGGCAGGCAGCAATGTACCTGGAGCCTCAGTTGTGCAAATCAGAGCCTGCGACCTGAATTTGGGACTCGGTGGCCTAGTCTCCTATTTCGTCTTGGATGACGTCATAAAGCCAAGAGCGCTGCTGTCCTACGTGTCCGAGAGCGCACGGAACGGAGTGGTGGTCTCGCAGCAGCGCGTCTTCGACCACGGCGCTGCAGGCCCACGGCCACGGCTCGCCCGCGCTCAGCGCCAGCTTGAGCCTGCGCGTGCTGGTGGGAAACCACGACAACGTGCTGTACCCTGCGCGATGACGGCCAGTCACCTGGTCACCAAGATGGTGGCAGTGGACGCTGACTCACGACATAGTGCCTGGCTGTCCTATCGCGTGCTGCAGGCCAGTGACCCTGGGCTCTTCTTACGCGACAGGGCGCTGCCTGACTCTGCCTGCTGATCTCTGTGTGTGATGGTGGGCTGCTTCTTTCGTGCACCACCACGCTGCATCTGGTGTTCGTTGACTGCTACAAGAGACGCTGCCAGACCTCCTTCGATAGCTCTGCAGATTTATATTCCGATTCCAAAAGTAATTTCTACCTAGTGATTTCCTTAGCTTTAGTTTTTTTTCTTTATTCCTCCTGCCTGCATTATTTGTGTTGGTTTTGAAGTGAAGACGCAAAAATGGCCATATCTTAAAGTCTTTTCCCACAGACCTTATCCCACACTACGCCCCAGATTTCAAAGTGACTGTAGCTCTGCCATGCCATATTCTTAGGAGGTGTGTGCCACTCCTACTAATCCAGGCCTCAGTAACTTCCCCTTTTGGAAGCCCTGTTCCTCAGGACTCAATAGCAGCCTCACTGCAGGAATCCTCTCTGAAGACAGGGATGATTCAGATTACTTGGGCCAGAGTCTACCTTCCAAAGGGAGAAAATCGTCATAAAATTAAATTCAATCATAAACAGGCTTTCTTTTAGCATGAAATCTTTTCAAAGGTCTCAGGGAAAAATCTCTCTGGTGGTAAGATCCAAGGTCCTAAGTTGGGACAGTATACAGCTCGATGGCAATATTAGATGAGTCTCAGTATTTAGGATCTTGTAAGTAGGTAACATTTTGATTAAATATTTGATTATACTTTCAAATTTTATTTTGATATTTGAATTGTGTTGATTCAAAAACAGAAGGGCAAATTTTGATCATAGCACTGTGCAAGTTGTACATTTGTAACTCAGAATCACTGTTTAGCACTTCTCATTCAAGGCATGACGTTTTCACTTTGTACTTGAGAATTCTGTCACCATCAGTAGACATTCTGGCTGAAAAGTTAGCCAATGGTTTCAATAAATGTGAGGGTAAGACTCTTTGAAAGTTGCTAAACCTAAGCCTCAGAAATTATCGTTCCACAGAAGAGCCTCTTACGACTGAGTGTGCTCAGCTCCTTTTCACACAGAACTTTGCTTTTCAAACTAGATTGTGAACATCACTGGACACTGCACTGTCTCCCACCACTGTCCAATCCATCATTCTGTATAGTACAAAAAGTCTGTCTCCCTATAATCTACCTGAGGCGGGAAATTAGGCCAATTCAAATGCTTTAAGTGAATCCAAGTTAGCATAGAATGCTGGATGTGAACTTTATTCCTTCTAATCAGACAACTGCACAAATACATCCAGGTATTAGCATGACATTTTCCTGAACTAGCATTTTACAAACACTTCAAAAATTGCAGAATAATTCTTGCAAAAAAAAATTTCCCATTGTTTCCCTGCCAGTGAACTAGAAGCTTAAAACTTAAAACATAAACAAAAAAGATTAGAATATTTGCTTCAGCAGTACATGTTAAAATTTGAAAAATATACAGTACATTAACATAACCCTTGCGCAAGATGACACACAAATTCGTGAAGCATTCTTCTCTTAAAAAATGTTTTTAGGAGAAGGCCAAGATCCATTACTGAGAGAACAAGCAGATCATGAGGCTACGGAAACAGACTGAACAAATGTAAAGAAGAAAATCAGCAAGTTCAGAGGTCCTCAAGACCCACGGACTCTCCTGGTCTGAACCCAATAAAGATTGTTTTGCCCACGCAAGGGATATAGCTCAGCGGCACAAGTGCCTGCCTGGCAAGCCTGAGGTCATAAGTCTGATACCCCATACAAAAAAATTAGAAAGCAGTTACTTCTAAAGAACAAAATTAAGTAAAGTGAGTAATATAGAAACTCTGAAAAAATGAAAGACTGACTTGTGAGTCAAGACCAAAAGAATATTAATAGGAAGATACATAAAATTGTGATTATTTGCAATGTGTTTCCTTACTGTCATGGATTCTGAAGCCTAAACTATGTTAACTTTATTGTAAAATCCTACCTTCGTTTTGGTCTCTAAAAGGAACTCAGGAAATCGGATAACTTGGTGTTTTTAATCTGGATTCTGATGCTTACCTGAACGTTCTGCTACAGTTTGTAATTCAAGAAAGGCAAGCTTCTCAACAAATATGTGTGATTTGCATGTGTAATACCTCATCCTAACAATATGTTAGGAGAGACAGTGAATATCTCTGGTGACTTTTTCTTTGTATTTACCTTATTTAAAGTAGTTTTCACTGTAGAACAGGTAACAATTTAATGAGGTAGGAATTGAGGGTCTTTTTTTCCCTATATTTTTCAACATCATTTATTGAAAAATTTTCTTTATCTATTGAATTGTCCTGATACCTCCATTGAAAATTATTTCATTGGGGCTGAGGATTTAGTTCAGCGACATAAGCGCCTGCCTTGCAAGCAAGCAGTCGTGAGTTCGATCCCTGGTGCCGATAAAAAGGAAAGAGACAAAAAAAGAAAGAAAATTATTTCATTGATATATGGTTCAATGTCTACACAGTGATCTATTTTTCTATTATGTTGCCAGTATTATACATTCTTGATTATTACAACCTTATAATAAATCTTAAAATCAGTAGATAAGTCTTGCAAGTCTTTTCTTCCATATAAAAAATACTTTTACAATTTTGGGCCTTTGTCTTTCCAAATAAAGCCATCTTGCCAGTTTCCAGGGGATAAATCCTCCAGGGATTTCAATGGGATTGCACTGAATCTAAAGCAGAGAGGGAAGAGGTCATGTTACCAATATTGAGGCTTCTCAGTCCATGAACATGGTATATATGTCTGTTTAATTAGATCTTTTAAAATTCCCTGAACTATGTTTTATAGGTTTCAGTGAAAAGGTCCTCTTTTTAAACTTTTATTTTCAATGGATATATAAAAAATAAAATTTTATATATTAATGGGATGCTACATAATGTTTACATACACATATACATTATATAGTGTTTGTAATAGCTCAAACATACCCACCTGCTCTAACATTTGTCGTCTCTTTATAAAAACTTTCAAAGCACTTCTTTCCAGCTTTCTGAACTGCGTTGTCCTTTATTGTTACCTGTAGCCGCCTTCCTGTGTAATAGCCCCGCGGAACTTCTCGTTCCTTTATAACTGTTCCGCCTCCCTCCACACTCCCCAGCCTGCGGTAACCAGTATTCTCCCAGCTTCCGTGAGATCAGCCTTTTAGAGTAAGATGACGTAGTGCCTAGCTTGTGTGCCTAGTTTATTTCACCAAATATAATTTACAGTTTCATCTATGTTGTCACAGACAACCGGATTTTACCCTTTTATGGTTGAACAGTACTTCCTTGTATATATGTACCATATTTCCTTTATCCACTCTTTAGCTGATGGACACTTTGACTGTTTACATTTCCTTACTGTTGTAAAAAGTGCAGAGATGTTACATATTTTTCAATAATTATCCCTACTTATTTGGTGTTCTTGGGTATCCTTACAAGTAGTATTGTATTGTTTCCTTTTCTGATTTTTCTGTGTTAGTTTATGAAAAAGCTATTTATTTTTAAAATATTAGTTTGCTGTCAAAAATACAAGATTCAGGGCCCTCTATCTTCACACTATATTGTGTGAGAGTATAGTTTAAAAGTACGCTAAGCCTACATCAATTTTGCGTAAGTTGAGGCTTCCTTTATCTTCGGTGTATAGTTGACAAAGCCCTTCCTAAAGCAGTAAACATTGATGTCTGCCTGCGTCTAGCAGTGGTCCATTCATCTGTTTGCATAGCAAAACATTCACTGTATATTTTGATCACTCCTCATAGAGTAATCACTAAAGGATGAGTAGAAGTTAGCTATGTAATAAAGTAAAGGGGCTGGGGATTTAACTCAGCGGCTTAAGTGCCTGCCTTGCAAGCAGGCAGTCGTGAGTTCGATCCCTGGTACCGATAAAAACAAAAAAGACCAAAAAAAAAAAAAAAAAAAAAAAAAAAAAAAGAAAGAAAGAAAGTAAAAAAGGAAATTGTCAGGCAGGGTAAATAGCAGTGTTAAGGTCATAAAAACAAGTACTTCAAGTACTTGAAAAGGGATAGGGAAGCTGGAAATGGAAAATAAATGGACAAAACTGACAAGGTAGAGCCTTGTTAACCACATTAAAGATTCTGGATTTTATTTATCTTTGTACTTAGGAGCTGTTAATGACTTTTAAGTAAGACAATGACAAAATATGGTTTGAATTTTGAATATTACTGTACTACTATATAGAGAACTGACTTATGAGAGTTACAAATGGAAACAGGAAGTCCAGATGGGAGACTATGGCAGTGTTCCTGGTGCAAGGCAGTGCTGGATTACAGGAAAGGGAGCCAATATGGGGATAAATGCATGGGTTGGAGATATATTTAGAACATAGATTCGGACTTCCGGGAGAACATGGCGGACAGATAACAGCAACTACCGGAGGCTCTCTGAAAGACTCGGCTCAGAAGCCAGGAATGGTGCGGACTAAGGAGACATAAGCAGGTGGAGATATGCTCTGCTGACTCAGGAACGAACTGGGCTGAGAGAAACCAACTTGGAATGCATTCCTGGTGCTAAAACAGGAACAGAAAAGCCTCGGTGTGGAGGCTGGACCCCGCGCCATTGTAAGCCGCGATTTGGGTTTCCCGCGTCGGCTAGCTGCCTCTACAGTGGCTCGGCAAGGAGAGAGACGCGCAGAAGCTCTGAGAACGGCAATCTGCGAACGGCAGGGAGGCATGCACTGACTTGTGGTGAGGTGAGTGAGAGAAGCTGACACTCTACCACAGTTTGACTCCAGCGGAGGACTTTCTGGGCCCGAGCAGTCCTGCGGGAGCAGGGTGCGGTGGCGACTCCAGCCACACATCCCCCTCTCGGGCGGGATTGGTGAAAAGTGCCTGGCCTGTGTGACGCTGCCGGCGGACCTGGTAGGCTGTCCCAACCCAGATCCCAGAGCCTGACGGTGGCCGGGAGGGAAGACGCGTAGGCTGCCTGGTGCGTAAATCCCTGGTGCACAGCGGTGAGCGGGAACACCTAACTGGCGCAATTCGATCAGGCTGTGGCTGACTGGGAGAGAAGCTGGGCCTCTTATATAAGCTTGCATATATAAGGAACAGAGAAGAAGAGGCAGCATGGGAAGAGGCAGCAACAAGAAAGGCTCCTCGGCCCCCAATTCTGAGAAACAGGCAATAGCAGACACCGCACCAATATACATAAGGCACCATATAGAGAGCCTCATAGACC